TGCAGCAACTCCACCAGCAGATGCAGCTGCAGGTGCTGCTGCTGCTGCTGCTGCACCAGTAGCAGCTGTTGCTGCCTCTGCTGCTGGGGCTCCTGCCATTATTATGGGTGCAGCAGCAGCAGCTGGAGCTGCTGCAGCAAGACCTTGTGCTGCTGAAGTACCAGCTGTCGCCGCTGCACCGGGCACTGACCCTGCTGCTGCTGCTGCTGCTGGTGCTGCAGCACCATTTGCTGCTGCTGATTGGGTTGTAGTAAGAAACGCATGACCTGCTGCTGCTCCTGCCCCGCCCACCTTGGTGAAGGCACCGCTCTTGGCTGCGCTGGATACCCCCTTCGTGATCATTGCGAGGCCGAGGACCTTTCCTCCTGCTGCTGCTGCTCCTCCTCCTGCTGCTGCTGCTGTGGTTGTAGCAGCTAGAGATGTGCCTGTTGTCGCCAGGGTCGCTCCCCCCGTCTTCAGTAGAACTGGCGCAAAGGCCAGGGAGGTGATGAGCGGCATCTTGCCTAGCCTCCCTCGGTCCTTCAGGTGTATGTACACCTCAGCACCCAGCTCTTTTAAATTTCTTTATTTCCCCTACACTGCAACGGCTAGCGAGAGAGAGAGAAGAGGCCGCCGTCAGTATAGGGGGGGCCGAGGCAGACAGGGTAACTGAGGGTGTAAGCCTGGGGCGCAGATGCCCATGCTTATGAAGCAGAAATTAAAAGAAATAAGCTAAACAAATGCAAAAAGAAAGAGCATGAGTCAACCGGAGAAAGAGAAGAAAGTCCTTACATATCGACACAGAACCGGCGCACCTGCTGCAGAGAGGAGAGGCCTGAAACCAAGCTATTGAATAATAAATTCTTTTTCAGAAGTTTTCACTAAATATTATATCATTTTTATTCCATTTATTTCTTTTTTTATCGATTATAAAAAGAAAACAACGCACGCAGAGCCGCAGCTAGATACAGCCCTTGTGCCTCAAGCCCCCCCACCCTCCTTGGTTCTGCAATAGAAACCCAGCTGAGGCCCGCCGCCCCCTCACCAAGGGAGAATAAGTTTATATAAAAGGAAAATAATATTTTTATTTAATAATTAAAAACTAGAAATATTTATTTGAAACAAATGCCGCTATTTCATCGCTTCTCTCGCGATCTGCATATAGAGTCAGGTAACCACCAGGGCGCTTGTTAGCTGTATCGACGCAACTGCAACCAACACATTCTGAATTTGTTNAGTCAGGTAACCACCAGGGCGCTTGTTAGCTGTATCGACGCAACTGCAACCAACACATTCTGAATTTGTTTGCCTTTTTACTTTTATTAATTAAAATATAAAAGGACCTTATACTTTAGACAAAGCAGGCTGTGTCTCTCTGCATCTGCGTGCTGCTGCCTCTGCCGGCGAGCTCACCAAACCCACCTAAATATATCTATACACAACTAACCTAAAAAAAAAGAATTTCTCTATGCACAACAACAGCAGCATCAGCCTCGAATTCCTCTCTATACAACAACAGCAGCCTCAACCCCTGGCTAACAGTGTTCTGGTTGCTGGTTCGCTGGTGTATGTCTACTGTGCTGAGCCTTCTAGCTTTCTCCCCCCTACATATATCCTTGTTCTCCTCGCAGCATCTCACTACTGTTTGTTTAGAAAGAAATATACAAGTAAAGGAATAACTTCACTGTATCCACGGGCCGTTGCGACGCAAAATGTTGATTGCATTGATAGCTGAGAGGCGACGGAAATACATGAACTACAAGGCGGTGGTTTCTGACGTTTACCTAAACCCTAAACCCTAAACCCCAAAACCTGAAAGCTAAACCCTAATCAGTGAGGAAAACCCTAGATATCCTCTTTCGCTTTCCTCTTGGATGTTTACATCTATGGCTTGAAGGGGTGTTTGTGTCTCGTCTGTTTCTGCTGCTGCTGCTTAGCGTCCTCGCCTTTTTTTCCTGCTGTTTACTCACTACAACTGCATCAGGCGTACTCTGCCTTACTAAGTATTCAATGTCTGTCGGAAAGCATTGAATTGGGGTGTCTATGCAGACAGCCCAAGGTCGGACGGTGGCGCAGCTTGGTGCGCCTTTCTCCTCTGCCACTGGCGAGCTGTTGTGTTGTTTTTTTTATAAGAGGCAAAATGCCGTTTGCCGAGGACAAAAGGAAATGACATTTTGCCTCTCTTATACAACACAACAAACAAGAGGGAGAGGGGCATATAGACACAGCAGCAACACCAGCTCTCTATGCTGTATTCGTGTTGCTGCTTGTCTATAACAGCGGATAGAACGGGCAAGAGAAGCATCTCCCTATAAGCCTCAAATTATATTTAAATAATATTTATAAGAAAATAAACAATGAAACAAATTATATTCTTCATGTTTAACAAAGAAACCACTACAAGAATTCTGCATACCGCACACCGCGGCTGTCTGCAGTCGATAGACGGATCGTTCTCTGCTCCTCAGATTTAATATTTCGCGGTGTACCCGAAAATAAAGGAGCAAGCAAAGGTATAAAATACAAAGACTGCTCAATTACTTCGGGAGGAGGAGGCGCCGCCGCCGCGGTTGCTGCTCCTATGGCGGGGCCAGCAACACCGCCGAGGGCGCTAGCAGCCACTGCAGCACACAGACAGACAGATGAAAGCATAGAAAAACCATTTAAAAAGCATAAATAAACTTTATATAGTATAAAATATACATAATATTTAAAATATATACATGAATATAAATAATATACAAACATCACCGAGCCATGAAACA